TAATAAATGTTTTGTTTTGACATACAAGTTGTTCGGGTTTTTTCATCTAAAAAAAATGACATTAATTTCTTGATGACCTGATATATTGGACATTTTTTTTACCTTATTTTCATGTGAACATCTTTTTCTGTAATAGTAAATTCACAGATAATGATTTATAATCATAATGAAGTGGCTTTATTTTTGCAGAATGTACGACATGTTTTGATAGAACATTCTTCAGGTTAAAATCATAAATAATATGTGTACCAGTTTAACTTTGAATATTATTTATGATTTTAACTTTATACACAAGTGCTAAAATATTATAATTACTCTTCAGGTTGTACCAATGTTTTATCATAACATTTAGTATGTTCCCCCAAAATAAAACCATTTCATTATGCTTGTAAATCGTTCTCTGTGAACCTACTATTATATTAGCATAATGTTCTTCTCTACAAAAGTATTTTTTTTCTTTGATAACAACATTATACATATATTGGGCACATTTAGCTAATTTTTTTGTGAAAATCTTGTTTGACATTTTTTATCTTGCTTGTATTTTTTTAATAACACTATTTTTATAGTTTTTTTATGCAATTGTGACTAAATATGATCATTGTTTGAATTTTGTGGGCTTATTTCTACCAAATTATTGTGCTGGATCTTTTCTTCCTCCAAAATTTCATTTTAAAATGTCAATATATACTAGTGGAGGTGATAATAATTAGCATTACAAAGGAAGGAGGAAAATACTTACTACAGAGTTGTGTATCCACAAAAAAATTCATCAAGTTATATTGGATGTTGAAATTACAAAAGATAAAATTTATTTAGAGGGAATAACCATGGTAGTAGCACCCAAACAGTGTTGGAGTTATCCTATTTTCCAAAGCATACTTATCTCCTCTAACATTATAGCTATTTCTTGATCTCCAGGGTTTCCACTCTTTGCCCATCTAAGCATTGAAAATGCTTGCTCCAGTCTTTCATACCACACTTGAATGCCCTTGGCAAATTCAAATTGGCAAAATTCTCCTTCAACTTCAATGCGGTCTCTATCTAGGTAATGTATATAAGCACCTCATTCAGATAATGTAATCACTTTTTCTCAACAAAGCATTTGGCATGGGTTTCTATAAACAGGAGTGTTCTGATTATTCACAATTTACGTTTTGACTTTGAATGTGTTTGGCATTATTACGGTTATATCTTTGTTTATATTTATAAATTACTTTAACAAACAAAACGTAAGGATGAATTCATAAGATAATGTTTCTACTACAGAGCCCAACCAGACCTCCTCTCTTCCACCTCTGCTATCTGGTGTTTGTCAACAGCCAGGGGAGCAGTTACTCTTAGTCGAAGCTGTCCGTGATATGATCCGTTGCGAGATGAAGACATATATACGGATCGAGTGTGTCTCTTCGGAGAGTTCTGAGGCGGCTTTTGCAAATGATCTGGAACCAGCTGGGGAGAATTTAGACTCACTTTTTCCAGCTCCTTCTTTTACTAGGTTGGCCTCAACAGAGGATCATCTTGATCAGCCACCTCCAGCC